CACCACCCTCAGGGAGCCATGTCTCAGGCCAAGGATTTACAGTTCTCCCGTTTGGGTGCAATTTGCCAATCAGGAGTCATATTTGCCCCAAGTCTAGAAACACACTTGACATTATTACCTTTATCTGTTTCCCAGGGAAAGAGCTAGAAAATTAACTAAATGTCAAATTCTCATACTAAAGAGCAAAGGGTTTTGTTAACCCTTCACCAGCATAACACATTAACATATCACAAGTTCTTTTACCTATCCAATCTTCAGTTTTCAAAATGCAGCAAAAAATGAACTCTGCTACTTAAAATATAGTTTTAAATTATTTCGGGAGTTTGAACACATCATTAGGGATTCATTCACATTTTCATTTGTTCAAAATTGATTTATTTGCACCAGGTACAATATTAAGCATGGAAAATACTGTGATGAACAAGACAAAAATAGTCCCTCTCCTCATAGAATTTGAAATTTATCAGAAGATATAAAAGAAGGCCTATTCAATAACAATGTAGTTTTTAAAACCCCTTGACAAAGTGCAAAGTAATAATCATATTGAAGAACAATGAACCCAGACTTGCAGCACAAGAAATAAGAATTATTCCCATTGAAGAAATAGGTAAGACATGCCAATACTCAATCATGTGTGTGTATACATATATACATATACACACATATATGTGCACATATACACACATACATATATACATTGTATACATATATACAATGCTTTATTTTTAAGTGTAATATGAATAGCAAATATATACATTTCTAGGAGCTAGATAGATGATAGATAGATACAATCTCACCTGGACTCTAAAATCATGTGAATTATAATAATTCATTTCTGAGAGAACATTTACTCCCCATCCTTGTATTTCTACCTTATTGGTGAGGCTTTGGGAGACAAAAGCGAGCCTTCTATGCCTTCCAGGCTCCCCACGAGCTGCTTGCCCAAAGAGGGATGCATTCCAACTAGATGTCTGTCCCTTAACGGGTTTTACCGGGGAGGCCCTGCCCTGCTGAAGGAAAATGCCTACACTTTGGTGGGGAAGATGAAAACAAAAAAGTTCAAGCCAAGGAACTATCAGGAAGTTGAATTTGTACATTCATACCTCAACCAGCAATTCTGATTGTATCAGTAGTAAAATTGGTATTTCCATTTCTACCTTTTGACTCTAATACCTACTTCTCACTTGGTTCAGAATTTAGAAAGTAAAGAAAAAGATGTTCTGTATTGGCCTTCAAAATTGCAGCACTAAATTACTCTAAATTTAGGCCAATGATTATCTATAATTTTACCCAAAATTGCATATTGTAAAGGGCCAGTTTCCCCAGGAAACAAATTCTAAGATTTGTCTGCCTGACTTTTACTGGGGAGTGCTCTGAAAATACCCACAGACAAGTGAAGGAAGCAGAGCTGGGCAAAGGGAACAGCTGAATTCAAGGCAACTGCCAATCCCAAGGGGCGGAGCTTTGGCGGCCCATCACAGTTGTTGACAACTGAAGTAAGTGAGATGCTGGCAGTTTGTACCCTCACAATGGCCAGAAATTGGACTGGAAAACGGGCTGCCTCCAAAAATGGAGTTTAAGCGTGGAAGTCGCAGCTCCCTTTGAGCAAAGGTAATTCCTGGGAAGAGACTCAGCTCTGGTTCCTCCCCAGGCAGCACCCCAGGCAGCTAGGGAAGCGAGTGTCTCGGTCCTAAAAAGGAGGGTGAGGGCAGCACACCACAGCATCTGCAAATATGTGTACGCACAGCATTTAAAATGGGCCACAATGAGATCATCTAATTAAGTAAGCACAGTATCCAAAATGACTAGCTATGATTCAAAAACACTGTATTACGAGAACTGACCGGTGGCCTCCATAGGCGGGGGTAGAGAATGGGCACAACGGGTAAAGGGGGTCAAAAGGTACAAACTTCCGGTTATAAAACAAATAAGTCATAGAAAGGTAATGTGCAGCATCATGACTTTAGTTTATAATACTATGTTGCCTGTTTGAAAGTTGCTGAGAGAGTAGATCTTAAAATTCCTCATTGCCAGAAAAATACATACTTTTTGTAACTATGTATAATGACAAATGTTACCTAGACTTATCATGGTGATCATTTGCAAAATACAAATGTTAAATCATTATGTTGTAAAACTGAAACTAACATGTAAATTATACCTCAATTAAAAATACTGTATTATTCTAAACAGTAACCGAATAATGATAATGTGAGCCCAGAAGCTAGTATTGGGTCATTGCCAGCTAAAAGAAAAAAAGCCCACCAGAGTCAGTAAACATGAACTGTACTCTGATGATAACTGAGGTTCTTCCTGATACTTTCCTGGAAGTATATTCAAACAAGCATATAGTCCCACTTATATCTATATTTATATAGACTTGCCTTTCTTTGGTGATAAAAAATGTAAAAGGCTGAAAATAAATGCCTCAATTATTTCTTCTCACTAAACCTCTCCACTTTCCAAGGTCTCTCCTTTCCACTTAAGAAAATCTCCATTCCAATTAAGAAAATATACATAACAGAATCTGTTAATGATTTATTTAATCCAGCCTCCTTCTGTGCATGCCATACCTCACAATAGAACGAATGCCTTTTTGTTTGTTTTCCCCTGTAGTTTCTATTATCTCTGATTAACCTTGTCTCTTCTGTTTGTTGTTAAAAGGATATAGAAATGCCTGATATACGAATGCCTTATTTTTCATCAATGTGAGACTTACCCATTAAGATAACCTTTTTTAAACCTTTATTGTTAAAAATCATTCAAAATATAGAAGTAGAATTTTCATGCTTAGTAATTCCCCTTGTACATTTACACTTTATTTTGCAAATAATCAATTATTTAACAGAGTTGGGATAAAGTAAAACTAAGCTTGTGTCAGACTTACTGCCAAGTATAAATTAATCATAAGTCAAAAGAAAGGTCCTGTGAAATTATAATGTTAGTCAACATGGAAATGCTAATAGTTTGCCTTTAATTTTTTCAGAGATTATCTCATAAGTAAAACAAGATATGCCAGCATAAAATGGTCCTTATTAACTGTGAACTTTGTACAGAGTCGCTGAGCTATAGGACGGGGGCTTAAATGAATTACAACAGTCAAATTTTGCTATGCTTTATAATAGCCAGAAATGTCAGCACAGGTAAAGAATGTAAAGCACAGCAACCATTAGCCTAGAATGTTTGCTTTTTATACAGTAATGATTAATATTCAGATATCAGATGTGTGCCCTAACTTCTCAGATAAGGTATAAATTCAGCAGTCAATTAAAAATCTCATGACTTTGATAGTTACCAAAATGGTAGAAAACGAAAAACACTATATGACTGGTTTATAAGAGCTAAACAGAGATACCCACTAATTGCTGCACAATGTCGTTAAGCCAAGGCACAGAGAGAGCATCAAGCACCTTAACTCATAGGGATAATAAAAACAAGGAGAAAAAAAGCAAGACAACTTAGTAATTCCCCTCAGGAATTTTATTTTGCACACAATTATTTAACAAAGGTTGAAATAAATATTCTCTCTCTTCTTTCCTCTGTGTGTGTGTGTGTGTGTGTGTATGAGAGAGAGAGAGAGAGAGAGAGAGAGAGAGAGAGAGAGAGGGGAGAGAAAAGAATCAGATTTGGATAAACCTTAAAGGTCAAATGCAGAAGTTGGGAGGAAAAGTCCTGTCTCATTCCTCTCTGTATGTTCTGTAACAGCTAGCACAGTACCTAAATTCAATGAGTGATAACTCAAAACATGTGCTGAATAAATCACTGAATGGAAAATTCCTAACATGAACTCACAGTTGGAGTAATTACACCCTTTCCCTTTAAACTGAGGTGTCTTTAGTTAAATTCTATACTATTTCTATGTTAACAATTACACTCACTTTTATATACATCAATTCTTGTTTTTTGTGACCTTTCAATTGTACCATCCTGAGGGAGGGGAAAAAACAGGTCATTGTTTTGTTTGTTTGTTTATTTTTCTCATTCTTTCCAACATTTCTTCCAGGAGGATCTAACCATTGAGGGGCCACTCAAAAGCAACCAACTTTGATAAATATTGATAAATATTGATATTTTATGTTTTGTGGCTATCGTGACTTGGGTCTTTACAGCTACCAACATTTATGTTCAAGTAACATGTAAAGATTGAAATCTGTCAGTGATCTTTCTAAATACAGATCTAATTCTCTCCATCCTTTTGTGTCTAAGATAATAAAACCCTTGACCCATCACATAAGGTCCTTGGTTGTTTTATCTCCAGGCCCAAGAGCAGGATCCTAGTGTTACCTGTGTACGGTCGCTGCCTCCCATAGACACTGTGTCCCAATGATATTCAATGAATATTTGTCGAATAAATTACTGTCCAATGAATGAAATCAATGTATTGTTAAATGTAAATGGTATAATGTTGTATCTATATTTAACAATATTTATTGCTTAAGTATTAAAATTTTAAGACCACCTGACGTGGTTTGAGTTTAGGCATTTCAAAAAGCAATGACTATATGAGGATAAATAAAAGATGCTACCATGTAGGAGGAGAAGTAGAAACCTGAGAGGTAAGCTTATTTAAATAATAATGGGTGAAGATACATAAAAGAATAATTTTTAAAACTAAACAAAAAAGCAATCATGAGATTTCTATTTATAAATTAGAAATAATACTTAAGTCATGTGTTCACTTAAAACAATAGATAAAAATATTGTCTAATTTTTAAATGTCAAGTTCACAGATAGAATGCACAATCTAAAAATTCTAATCAAGCTAAGTGTTTCAGGAACTATATTAAAACACAGTTTAAATAGAGAAGTAGAATCCAGATTAGTGTTCAGTAAAATAATTTTAAGATACATGTAAAGACCGTCTGTACATAACAGGATTTCAGAAATTAATGTAAATCATCCTAAATTCTAGATAATTAAGCATGTTTTAAATGTCTTTGTGTTGAAACATTCTATAAATACACTACCAGTAAAGCATTTTAAAGTTTTTCAAGTCATACCTGCAAAAGAGTTGTTCTATGGAGCTTCAGTGCCCCCTTCTGGTGAATTTTGGCAAAGCACCTTGAACAATAATCTTCTCCACATTCAAGACATACCTTAAAAAGATATTTTTAAAAAATCTTATGACTTTGAGAAAATGTGTAAAGATGTTATTGCTATTATCTTTATTTCTCCACTTACATACCTAGATGTCATTAGAATTTAGAAGTCCAAGGAGATTGTGACAGCTATTTGTCCCAATTAAGATTTAACTCTGAGAAAAACTAACTTGGAAACAAATTACTCTCATATCAAATAACTATAATAGCTAAAATGTAGGTTTTACACGTGTTTTGCAAGTATGTATATATGGTTTTTGAATAAATCATAAAACATTTGGCAGCATCAGGTCAAACTTCTTGACCTGGTTAAAACTAAACAGCACTATCTCTGTCTGGTCAACACTACTTCAGTTTTAGTGCTTCTATCTTTCTATACGGATTTACAGGGCACAATTCATTTCAAATGATATGTATACTATTTATCTCCAAGAGTCCCCAGACACTTCCTTGAGTGGTACTCCTTCAATGATGATTCTCAAAATAAGGTTCAAAACTATTTTTAAAAGATTCCTCAAAAGAAAGTATTTTTAAAAACTAGATAGAACTGCATCAGAAATGTCAGCAATGTTTATGACCAGTGAAATGATTATGGACTAGTATATATTTATCTTCTAAATTCTTTACGGTGTTAAAATATAATTTTTTAAATTTAGGGATAAATAGAAAAGTGTGATGTATTTGTATTTATGACGGTACCAAGCAAAACTAAATGTTAAGATAAAAAACAAAGAAATTTTTACTACATGTGAAATTACTACCGTGCAGCTGTACAGCCACATCAACACTCTTCTTTTTTTTTAAGATTTTATTTATTTATTTTTATAGAGGAGAAAGGAGGGAGAAAGAAAGAGAAACATCAATGTGTGGTTGCCTCTCATGTGGTCCCTACTGGTGACCTGGCCTGCAACCCAGGCATGGGCCCTAGACTGGGAATTGAACCAATGACCCTTTCATTTGCAGGCTGGCACTCAATCCACTGAGCCACACCAGCCAGGGATCACTTCAACACTTGTAAAAATATGAAAAATAACTGGAAATGGCTAAAATGCCAAAATCTCTCTTTTCTTGAGGTTTGCCTAGGTTAGGAACTACTGTTAGTGCAAATAAGAAAGCATGACGGCTTGGAGAGATGGTGTCAGAAAACCTATGACAAGGAGCTCACATTCCCTTTGATACTCTTTTATCCCCCGCTTAGGGTGCCCACCACCATTCTCCCCCTCCTTCCTCTGCTCTCATACCAGGGAAACATCAGCATAAAACACATGCGGTAGACTGGGGAGAGGTTGACCAAGCTCTTCGGCCTAGTCCTGGTCAGTGGTGGATTGAAATGTGCAGTACAGTGATGCTTCGCAAACTCTAATGTACACATGAACCATCTGGCCATCTATTGCCAGGTAGACTCCAGTTCAGAAAGGCTGAAATGCCACCTGAGATACTGCATTCTAACCAGCTGCTAGGTGAGACCATGCAGCAGCTGGTGCACAGACCACACACTGAGGAATCAGGCTCTAGAATGCATTAAGACACAGAAAAACTGACTAATTCTTATCAAATATCCAACAGACATTTTAAGTCCATTAATTTTTAAAAACTGTGTTAAGTCCCCATATGATGACACAATCACCTACAATAATGGAGATTTATTCAATGTAAAATGATTAAGGCAACACTACAAAAAGGTTAAAAGAGTGAGAAACTTTTATGTAACTGTAATGAAACTAAAAAGGAAGGCTAGGATCAAATAACAATATTCACAACATTTAGTGAGCATTTACTCACTGTTCTAAGGGCTTCACATATCTCATTTGCTCCTTACAACAATCCTCTCAAGTGATAAAGGTCATTGTATGTCCATTGTCAAGATGAGGTACCAAGAGAACATAATGATTAAAAATTTGTCAGGTAGTACAGCTAAGAGAGCTAGAATTTCAACCTCACATTCTGACTCAAAGCTCAAGCTTTTTCCCACAATCCACATTACTATTCATTAAATCAATTATTGAGCATTAATTTAAGTATTAATCATTTATTGAAAAAACGATAAAATCTGCAATAAAATAAATGAATAAAATAAATATTTCAATGACTGCATGTGCTGGTATTTGTCAAAATCCAAAAGTATTTTTTTCCAATGTCAAAAATCCAAATATATATTTTTTCAAATGTGATTAGCTATACAGCACTGGATTTTTTGTTTAAGAGGGAGAAAAATAAACACTATCCCTACTATGGGAACTAGTCTTACCCTTTCAACTCTTATTTCAAAAGCTACAGTCTCTTAAAGAAATGATGATAAACATATCTAAATCCATAATTTTTCAAGTCCAAAATCAATTAAAAACTGTAATTCCAGATACATATATGGTAGCATCCTTGTATTAGTATATATTTTAAAGTGTATTCTGCTTTTTATTTTACTTATCTGTTAATATTTTAATAAATTTCTTATAAACACTCAGCAATGGTTTTACAATGCAATATAGAGGACAGAAAGTCAGTTTCAACACATAATTCTAAGCCAAGTATCTGTTGACAACAGACTTTTAATGGAAGTAGCTGAACAGACGCTATAAACTGGAAGATCAAAGCTGGAGTAGCAGAGTAAGCTTATATATTTTGTTATACAAGCACATTTGGATTTAAATTGGGTTAAAATGACCGCCAACTGGAAAATCTTTTTAGGCAGTGTGCATAACTAGCAGGAACATACTAAGAACATAGATAAGCACTCCATTCCACCACAGACGCTTCTCCACTGATGGAATACCCAAGTGCAGTTTCAGTAAACACCTTTTTAATTTGATGAAGGCTAGACCAGTCAGTTGTACCAAGTCTTCAGAAACCACTGGAGTTTAATTAAATGATACACTTTTGCCAAATTAATATACAATTTTTAACTATCCATTTCACTTTTGCCATGTAGAAACGGCCTAAAGTTACCATAACTTCTTTATAAAAGAAAAAAAAATAGAAGTTTGGGATTTTATTTTCACCATCAATCTATGTGAATGCATCAGGACATAAGAAAACATGCCAAAAACAAAAGCACGTAATTTATTGTCTCCTAACAATATACCACGTACAAGGCTGAATATTTCACGTGCATTAACCCACTGTCCTGAATAACTCAAAAGTATAGGCTACTGTTATTCACAGTATTCCATTATACAAATGAGAGAAGAGAAATTAGAAGAATCAATTCATATGTTAAAGGTCACTTAGTTAACAGATAAAGTTGAGACTGAAACCCGCAAAATACAAGCTCTTAACTGCTACCCCAATATACAACTTTCCCTCATGAAGACCCCATCATAAGGTATAGGAAGGTTGACTTTAATTCCCCAACCAGCATTATCACCTAGAATGACGGAAGCTAAAACACAGGATAACCTTGCTCAGAGTTAAGCACTATCACAGTCTACTTCACAGATCTGCTAGCTTCAATTTTTAAACAAGTTATTGTTGTGTTTTGACAAGTATATTATTTTCATCACATCAAAGAACATCCTTTATTAAAATCTTAGTGAAATGTTTAAGTATATTTAGCACCTAAATCCCAGCTTCTATATACTACAGTTTCAAGCAAATCATCTTTTTAATCACTCAGCAAAGGCATGGGAAATGACGTCCCAGCAAAGGCATATGTCATTTAACCTGCCCAGGAAGTCATTTCCTTGCATTTCCTACTCCATGGATAAACTGAGACTTTATTTTCAGGTCAAGTCCTACCTACATATGCCACACTGTTCAAATTCCACAACCTTTAAAAAGTGCTCAGCACAGACAGGATCCCAGAGAAATACTGACCCATAGTTACTACATAAATCCTTTTTCAGATCATGAACAATGAACCTCAACAATTCAATTCAGCCAATAAGTCCCTTTCATACTTCTAGCTTCAAAAATATTTTGTTTATATTTTTAAACATTTCTACATAAATACAATTGGCTAATATTCTTTCAATTATTGTCCACCATTACATCAAATACTATAATAGTATGATGTAATAGTAAGAGCATTTTACCAACATCCAGAGTTTTATATTTAATATTGTTTTTAGCCCTTTATCAAACTCACAGCATTCTAACTCTGACCCTCTACTATGAAATAAAGTTAGTAAAATAGACTTAAATCAGAAGTGATTATGGCTAAATTCTCTGAAACTACAATAAATTCCATAATATCAGTTATAATCATTAAATTCTTTGGGAGAAAAACTGCTTCTCAAGTATGTGTGATATATTAAATTACAAAAGGAATGGGAGTATCTTCAATACTGAGAGAAAAATATGTCTAAAGTTTATACTACAGACAAGTTTTAAAGAAATGACTCATTCAACAAATATTTGTTGAGTACCTGCTAAGTTGCAGGCATAGATGGTGCACCCACAGCAGCAAACAAAATGAAATCACCATTCTCATGAAGTTTACATTAAATGTGCGTAGAAAACAAACAAATGCACATTATAAGATGACAACTGCTATGTATACAAGTGAAGAAGCTTCATACAACCAGAGTTCAACTCAGCTATTGCTATTTTATAAAGGGCAGTTGCGGTAAGTAACATTTGAGTTGACTTTTGTTGCTATGAGGGGACTATGGGGGTAGAAAATTTGTTGGAGATAAACTAAAGTTCAATTTTGAACATTTTAAGTTAGTGATTCCTGTCAGACATCCTACTAAAGGTGTTGATTGGCAGACTGAGTTAAAAGTTCAAGGGGAGAGGGATGAGTCAGAGATGTATATCTGGGAGCAGTCAAAGTAGAGATGGCCTTTAAAGCCAAGAGAATGAATGAAATTACCGAAAGAGCAAGTATAGAGAGACTAGAGAAGAGGACTAAGGACCGAGGACTGTGGCATCGCAATGTTAAGGGGTCAAGAATACAGAAAACCAACAAAGACAGTTGAAAAAGGATAGTTAGCAAAATAAAAGGAAACCAAGAGAGAATGGTGTTTCAGAGAAAGCCAAGTGAAGAGTCATCGGAGAGGAGAGGGATATTGTATCAAATATTACTGATAGATTAAGAACTGAGAATAGACCACTGATAGATAAATTAAGAGCTGAGAATTGAATGTAGAAGTCACTGGCAACTATCATAGGAGCAGTTGCTGGACACTAATGGAGGGTCAGTACTGAATGGAGAGGGTTCAAGAAAGAATGGAATTTAGCAGTTCCAATTTTGGGTGTATACCCCAAATAGTTGAAAGTAGGGACTTGGACAGATATTTGTACACCCATGTTCACAGCAGCATTATTCATAGTAGTCAAAATGTAAAAGCAATCCACTGTCCATCAATAGACGAATGGATAAACAAAATGTGGAAAACACACTCAACGGTCTGTTATTCAGCCTTAAAAATGAAGAAAATTCTGATACAGGCTACAACATGGATGACTCTTGAAGGCATTATGCTAAATGAAATACGGACAATACTATTTAATGATAGAAAACAAATACTATGTGGTTCCATTTATATGAGAAGCCTAGTTGTGAAATTCACAGAGGCAGAAAATAGAGTAGAGGTCGTCAGGAGCTGAGGGGAGGAGGAAGTGGGGAGTTATTGTTTCCTGGGTGCAGAATTTCAGTTTTGCAAGGTGAAAGGAGTTCAGTGGCTACATAGTGGAGAGGGTAGCACTGCAACGTACTTAATGCCACTGAACTGTGCACTTAAAATGGCCAGGGCGGTAACTTTTAAATTACGGTGTATTTCACAATATTTTTTGGAGCTCATGAATTGACACCTACGAAAAGTTAGAGAGCTGTCAGAAAGCATTATTTTTTTGTATTTTTTTTATGTTCACTTCAGAACTTTTAAGGAAAGAATGAATGTCATTTGGGGGCAAAAAAAAAGATTTGCACATAAATGTACACAGCAGCCTTAAATGTAACAGGGAAAAAAAACTAAAACAAGCCAAATGTCATTCAACATGTGAGGGAATAAACAAATTTTGGTGTACCTATACTACGGAATGCAACTCAGTAATACAAATGGACAAAATACTGATAAATGTAACATGAATGAATCTCCACATGGAGCAAAAGAAAACTTACACAAAAAATATATATACAGGAGTGGGCAAAAAAGGTAAATAATAATAATAATAAATGCAATAATTAATAATACAAGAATAAACTGTGTTTTGCATACTCACTAACTATAAAAATACTTTGCCCACCCCTGTGTGCATGTATGTATATCCCCCTTATAATTCCATTTGTATAATATATAGAAATAGGTACTACTAAATGTAAGGTACTTAAAATCAGAGCAGTGGTTGCCTTTGTGGTAAAGATGAATTGGAAAAGGAACAAGGAACTTTCAGGAGTATTCCATTAACTTGATGGGAGTGTAGACATTTGTCAAAAGGCATATAATTATACATTTAAGATCTGTCCACTTCAAGTAAGTAAAATATACCTCAATAAAAAAAAATAGAATGAGAGAAGAGAATATGATGATAGCAAGTATAGCCAACTCTTCAACTGTTACCAAAAGAGAAGTACAGAGGGAAATGGGGGGGACAAAGGAGAATGTTCGTTGTAGTTTTAGCTTTAGTTGTAGACAGAAGACACTGCAGCATGTCTGTATGCTGACAGGCATGACCCAAGGCAGAGAGGGTGAGTTAAGCTAGTGTCTTAAACAGGAATGAGAGGACGCGCTTCCATGAGAGGCAGGCCTTCCCCAGCAGCATGCACACCTCACCCTTAACACGAGCCACAAAGGAAAAGTATGTGCCTCCCAAGCAGGTTAAGTTGGGAGAAGTGTCTGACGCCATGCCTAAGTTCTATTCTCATATCTTATCCTGGTGTACCTACTAGCAGCGCGGCTTTGTTCTCACACTGTCCACAAAGCTTCCCTTTTATCTTGGGTTTTTCACTTCCAGAAGAATTTGCCATTTTATAATTAAGCGGTTGTCTTACTGACTCTGGAAGAAAAAAATAAGTCAGACTAATCACTTTAAAATATGATGCTTAGATTTCTGATTGATAAAGTAATGAAAGTATACATATTTCTAAATTCTCAAATAATATTAAATACTAGTTACCTAATAATAATAACGACATGTAGCCAAGCCTAATCCTCCCAGTAGGCTGGGGAGCTCACATCCCCGTCCGGTGACCACAGGGCCACACACACCCACCCATATCCACCCTGCTTAAAACTCACTTAAGCTGGACACGTGAAGGTATAGGATGTAGTAAGTGTTAAAAACTGTGCTCTTGATAGAATACCTACGGATCCTGTCCCATCTCGGGATCAAACTGAAGCCCACAGAGAACATCTTCTGTAATAAATGTTTTATATATATAACTTGTTCTATCAAATCATCTCAACTATTCAAATTAAATGCGTTTATCCTCAATTAAGAAGTCATCCATTTGAAATTAGTACATATTCAAAATTGATTTTGGTTTTTGCTATTGTCAAAATGTTTTAAAATATAAAGGAATTTTTCAATATTCTTTTAATTTTCTAGAGTAAAATTTCAATTTATTATTTTATACTGAAAAATTCTTATCTTAGTTAAAAATTATATTAATAAACTATAAGGACCAGTGCTAGGAAAGTCCTCACTATTAAAAAATGCTATATTATAATCATATTCTAAGTTGACATTCTTTGACAATAAAATAAGCCTCCCCCCCAAACATAAGTGAAATGTATTTTGAATATCAAAAGCAAAGAGTCATCATTTGGGGATTGAGAATCTTTATATTTAATGAACAATTCTAGCACTTTAATTTTCTTTGTAATTCAAATGTAGAAGAAATTCTATCAGTAGCAGTTAATAATACAGTGGTAAATTGTTTACCTTGAAGCTGCTCCTTCAGCAATTTTAATTTCAATTTTCCAGGAGAAAACTGTATTAATGAAATAGATATTATTTGTTACATATACATTTTCTTATTCAAAGAAAGTCTAAGTCATTAACAAAAATATTAGAAAGCTATAAAATTTTAGTACATCTTGAACAAACCAAACATTTTGAGAGAATAGTATAAAATTAATAGGTTGCCCTGAAAGCATAAAAAGCCTTTTAATTAAATTAATAAAAATATAAATTTTGTAAATATGTAAAAACCAGTCTTTTAAATATGCCATAAATTATTTGTTAAATAAAAATCATTATATATCATCAAGAAAAGATTTTAGGACAAAACTACTGTTCAAATATTAAAGTTTTCTCTATCTCTGATTTTTCCGAAAGGCACAAAGTCAAATATATATGTCGACTGAGTCTAAACTGAATTTTGACTGAGCTACTCTGCTTACATAACTTGAGGCACCAATATTATTATCGTATTTGCCCAATTTAGAGAACTACATGCTTAAGGATCATAAATTTAACCTTCAAATATATTATTCATGATCCCTGACTTTCCCAAGTTGTAGCCAAAAATATAGATATATATGGGTAATTAAGACTCACTGCTAGGTATTTCAGATAAATATTTGCTTAAAATCCTGGAATTTAAGATTTAAAGAAATAAAACAGACTCGCCAATTGCACATACTTGCTTTGGTCTTATTAAAACCTACATTCAAAATACACAAATGAATGTAGTAGACAAGATGCACATTTACACAGACGCTGTCAATGTATGCCTAGTTTTCAATTTGCAATTTGCATGCTCAATTGCCCAATTTGTACATGAGAATATGAGAACAATGTTTGCCTCTATGTCTTTGGTGGTACCAAATGCAGTCATCTGAAAATCTCAGCCTAATTATTTTCAGTGAATCTAGTGGTTTTGCTTCAAAAGGACATTTGTTGTTCATATTCTTTAAGTAGTTACTCAGATGCTGTGTACCAAACACAGCAAAAAAGAAAATAGGATTGACATAAGCAATTCTTAGTGAATCACGCTTTTATTTTTAAACTTGCAATGTTATACAAGTTACAAATAATTTAATCTCATTTTTTATAACCAAATTATCTAATAATATTACCTTAATGATTACATCTGAATTGCAACATGTTCAATGTAGTTATAGGCTACCTGGGCAGAATGGATTTGCTAAAGCAAACTGAACCCATTGTTAGGAAAATTAGGGAAATGTTATACTTCGTTTTTAGTATTGTGAATAATATTTCCCTGCTCATATTTACTAAAAATAACTCGAACTGCATAAAAAAATATTGCAATGAACAAACTGCTAGCTGCTATTTTTCAGAAAACAGAATATCTTCCTAAGCCTGCCTTTTATCTGTTTGGGAGAGTTGAGGGTGGAGTAGGGCTGGACCAGTGACACACACACACACATCCATGCATATATACAAATACATGCACATACATATGGGTATATGTATATGCATATGTAGGTATATCCAAATATCAGTAATGCAATATGCTGAAGCTTAGGGCCTATTATCCCTCTTATGCCTCCACCAGCAGATAATAAAAGGGTGCCATCAGGGACCAGGGCAGTTTAGTGGCTCTACCACACTGACATATCCATCTGGGCCACTGGGGTCAGACAGACTACAGTGTCATCATCTGCCTCCCTGGTATTCACAGATGCCTCCAAACTCCCTCCAATGCCCTAATCTGCCACGCTGGACCCACACTCCTCCCACAAGCCACCTTTTCAAATATACTCATTCTTAATCTAATTAGCACTTGACCTTTGCTGTTCCCTACTGTTTGTCCTTCTGCCCAGGCCCTCCTGCCAGTTGACAGAGCACTTATAAAACAGTCATTTAACTATCTTATGTCTTCAACTTTTCCTAAAAATACCTCTTCCAAAAGCTCACATGCATTGGACCTATCTTTCTTCCAACACAACGTCCTCCACAGAATTCTCCAGAGGAACTAGATCCATTTCTACTCCCTTTCACTCACCAGGAGAAGAAATTTTTTCTCCCTGTTTGCTCCTCAGTGCTGCCTCCAGAGAACTGCTCTGCTCTTATCATTCAGCTGCGTCTGCTGAAGGTTCTCACCATCCACTTCCTGCCTTTATCAATACCCAGAATCCTCGTGCACCTGAAAGTCAGTGATCTGCCTGATATTTCTCTTCATCACATTTCTGGGGGATGATGATGGAGACTTCAATGTCCATGTTCACCTGACATCCTGAAGCTGAAAACCCTCCAACATGCTGACTACTATGAACTTCCACGTGTCTCTTTCAGCCACTTGACCACTATGACCACCACACCTTGAACCTAACCAGATATCTGTATGGTGACACCTTCAAAATGCCAAAGTCAGAGTTTCTCAGTGCTAAATCACCTTTCCTCCTCCCCCTTAAGCCTCCCATACCTACCTAGGATTGTGATGAAATCCCAATTGAGTCCCTTATAAATCCATGCTGAACAACTCCAATGGGTTCTTATGGCCCTTCCACAACTTCTGTATTCATTTGTTGCTAATCTTCAATCACCCATATGTATAACCCAAAACTTCTCCATTCCAAAAAAACTCAAGTTTACCCCATTTTTCTTCCTTAATTTGAGCAGATGATCTTGCCTTCAATTTACGAAGAATGCTGAGGTCTTCCCGTTGGGAGGTTTCCACAGCTTCCTCTGCCTCAGTCCCCATCAAATAAAACCTCTAAAAATTTACCCTTACTGCCACTTGCTTTTCTCCCATCTTTCTTGTCTCAGAGAAAATGCATCCTCCTTCCCTTTGGTGAAGAACTCCTTAATGGACCACCTCTTCCAAGATTACACCCCAGAAACTGATGCCTTTCTCATTTGCATCTTTAATCTTCACTCCACTTTCGTGAGTCCATCTCTCCACGACATACTGATTCATCTTCTCCCTGAATCTAAAAAATAGTATTATACAGCCTTTCCTTGATCCTGTTAGACCCTTGAGGGGCCATCCTTTTTCTCATGATCACGGAAACATTAGCCTTTACTCACTGCCATCTGCCTTTTTCAGCCACTTGAAAGTACTTTTACATCTAATGACCCAATCATCAAACCATATTCAGTGTTTCTAGAAATTCTCATTCTCCACAAAGAGATATTTTAAATTGATATTCAGGTAATGTTACAATTGGCCTCACACATATTACCTCACACACAACCCAAAACTCTGTGTAGTTAGGAAGTGACACTATGCATGTTTACAAACATGGTGACACAAACACAGAAAGGTCAAATAACCTGCCTAAAATCACAGAGCCAATAAAATGAATGAGAAATTTAGTCTAAACAGGGTTTCTTGACCTCGGCCAGGATAATTCTTTGCTGTGAGGGCTGTCCAATGCACAGCAGGATGTAGAACAGCATCCCAGCCTGCAGCCATTCACTTCCATTAGGAAGAAACAATAACCACTACAACAACAACGACACCACCACCAAAGACAAAAAACCCTTTCCTGGTGACAACTAAAAAATGTCTCTAAACATTGCAAAATGTCTCCTAGTGACAGGGGTGAGGGGTAGAAGGGGACTGACCCCTGTGGAGAAATGCTGGTCTAACACTAGACTCAAAACTGTGTCCACTACACAATGCATTCGGCAATGTTGACTTCTCCATGTTTTCTAAAAACACTCTCCTTCCCTTTCCTCTTCTATGAAATCACATTACTTTGATTCTACTCCTACCATTTTTCTCTTCTCAGGCTCCGTTTATTGCAGAGCTGGCAAATTAGGACCAGACTGAAAGCCTGCACTCCAACTCTTGGCCCTGGCACTTGACCTTCAGCAAGTTATTTAACCCTTTTGATGGTAAATTACTTCATCTGTGGAACTAAAAAAGGAACAACTGCCTTTTGAGAGTGACATAAGTACTTAATGAGATAAAACGGAAAAAGCAGCTAAACTGTTGACTGGTATAAAACAGATAGAGAGTAAATATTAAAGTTCTCTTTGCCTCCATAGACTTTGAGCTTTACCCTTCACACCTGCCCTCTCTGAGCTTGATCCTTTGTATCTTCCTTCTCCTTTTTATAAATTCTTAGGAACCAATTTACTCTCTCAGCTTCAACTAACACATGAGAATTTGAATGAAAATTCTAAATCTTTGAAATCTGCTAAGAGGGTAGAATTAAATGGTCTCACAAAAAAGAGAGAGATATGTGAAGTGTATTAATTAACTCGGCATGGGGATCCTTTTACAATATATATGTATATTGAATCATCACATTGTACACCTTAAATACTTAACAATTTTGTCACATATACCTCAATAAAGTGGTGGAGAGGGGAGGAATGGAGGGAGGGAGGAATGGAGGAAGGGAGGAAGGGAGAAAGGGAGGGAGGAAGGAAGGAAGGAAGGACCGGTCTAAATCGATACCCCAGAACTTTTTTTCTAACTTCCTTCTTTATTCTACTTCCTAGCCAACTTAGGCTGCGATATCAATTACATTCTTCCTCTCCTTTATCACTGTTTTTCTGGTCCAATATTTTCCTTTTTATTTATTCTGCTACATTTTATGTTAGACTCTTCTTATCTGAATCTCTAGATGTTTTTAATAGTCTTTCTGCCTCTATAGCAGTGGCCTCCAATGTAGCATGTACACATGCCTGAGGGGCTCAGGAAAAAATCAGAGAGAAGCAAAGAAACATTTATTTATGTTTACATTATTTATGTTTAGTGGCACTTCCTAACTACACAGAGTTTTGGGTTGTGTGTGAGGTAATATGTGTGAGGCCAATTGTAACATTACCTGAATATCAATTTAAAATATCTCTTTGTGGAGAATGAGAATTTCTAGAAACACTGAATATGGTTTGATGATTGGGTCATTAGATGTAAAAGTATTTTCAAGTGGCTGAAAAAGAAAGGCAGATGCCAGTGAGTAAAGGCTAATGTTTCAGTGATCATGAGAAAAAGGATGGCCCCTTATCCATATTTTGCACATGGTATATTAAAAAACAAGTGTGTGTGTGTGTGTGTGTATAAAATTCTAGTTATAAATAAAGAGTTCATGTGTACAAAGCTATGCTCAAAATATATTCTTTATTGATGTGATGCAAAATCAAAATAGTTTGGATATCATTTGCTCTATATTTATAAATTCCAACTGCATTAGATAATTGATCAAAATCAACCATCAGAAATCATCATCTTAATCTTGCAACCCCCCTGCTCCAAAGCTGTCAGGGAATTCCATTCACCAATGAAAAAAATAAAGACTCCTAAGAGTATTATTGAAGGCCTTCCCTCCTGTCCTAACTCGCCTTCTACACCCTCCTTCTACATCATCCTCCCATGTTTTCATCCTTCAACTCAATTATGAAGATTGTGAGGACTAGCATTATGATTTATTCATCACTTCTTTTCTTACAAACACATCTAGTAGACTTTCAAATATTTGTAGAACTAAACTATTATTTCCCAAGCACAGATGGTTCATACACTAAATAGTTATGACAAAAATTACATACTGATGCTTTCTATAAATATTTCCATATGTAAATCATCTTTCACATTACATGAGAATTTACTGGAGAATAAGGAAAAGTCACTAAATGACAAAGAAGGCACTTAATAAATACTGAAGAATAAATAAGTCAATAATCACAGACTCAGAATTTTTAATATATCATACATATAAAAACATCTGAAACATAGAACACTATATCTCATAAAGATAATAAAAAATGGAAAGTGGATTATAAAATGTTTAATCCAAAAATTAAAGAAGCTGATTTTAGTTAGAAAATGACATTAAAGAATACAATGCTTTTGCAAAGCCAATAAGTTTAGAAGCATCAAGAAAGATGTTTGTAGATGCCAACTGCCCACTGAAAGTTTAATGATACATACATAAAAAAGGTAAATCTATATAAGTTAAAAATTACAAAGTCATGAATCTTGTGTTTAAGAATTGAGATGAAAATCAGTTTTCTTTACAGGAAGACACTCATCTGGTTTTAATCATACATACAATATAATGATATATTTTATAATACATAGGTAAAAATAAAGCAATCTATAGTAGGGAAACCTGTAAGTTTTTTACCTTGGGTATCCTCATATATGGAATCAACAAGATAAGAATAATAATTACTATTCAAGCAGAACATCAACATATTAAACAAATGCGATATTATGAAAAGGCAGAAAAAAATCTGTCTTTTGTTACATCAAATAACAGCTTTCACCTTAAAACAGAACTACATAGTTGTGTTTCACATACTTGAAACCAGAACTGGACTGCACAGAAAAAAAATTAGTTTAGAAAATTCAGCTCAAAGTGAATTTCTAAAAATTAACATGTAGATGGAAAACAAAAAGATATCTGAATATGAAAGCTCTATATAACTTATAAAAATTAATCATAATCAAATAGTATGCGGAGTTGTTAAAACAAGACTAGGAAGGGAATGCAAGACCAGGAAAATTAATTTATATATTCTTGTTAGCAAATTGCTTGAGAATCAAATAGTGTTTTCTTACCTTAATAACATTTCCTTTATTTTGTGACATTATATGTGATTGATTACCCAATTTGCCCACTTTTCCCGATTTCCAGTGATATCCACTTGACCTTCAATATGTGTAAACAGAAGACAAATGTAACTAGATATATTTTTCCATTTAATGAAAACAAATATATTTTCCTGTTTCAGGAAATGGAAATTCAGTTGTTAAAATGTAACAGACCACAACAAAATGAAAATGAAATATTAATAATGCCACAATATCCTCAGTGACTTTAAAATACAAGGTCTCTCCAGAAGTTCCAGCCATGTAAAATGAAAAAGAGACATTTATTGAATAAGATACAAAAAACATTGTACATTGGACAATGACACCTCAGTCCCCTTTAAAGCAGGCACCTTAGGACCTCACATAGTTTTCCCAATCGCCATTAGCTGCCCCATTGTATTTTCCTGAATCTCATAGACAGTCTGAAATCTCTTCCCTTTCAAAGGTGACTCTAGTTTTGGAAAAAGCCAGAAGTCAGTCACAGGGCCCCACATCTGGGCTATAGTGGAGCTGAGTCACCTGGGTGATTTGATGTTTGGCCAAAAAGCTCTGCAAGAAATACGATGCTTGAGCAGGTGCATTGTGGTTATGAAGCCGCCAGTCATGAGTTGCCCATAGCCACAGCCTTCTCAATCATCTGAATAGTTTCCATGGAGGAATGTTCAAGCTTAATGCAAAATTTGATGTAGATTTGTTGCTCTACTTGCCCAGTCATTTGAATGTGACAGCCACACATGCTCACTTAATGGTGTCTACCGCCCCCACTGACTAGTACAGTGAAGTCATCACTGTTCATTCCATGTGCATGCCAGTCCACTCCCCTTGGCTGCCAGGTTACATTGATGTCACACAGACTGTTCTTGTTATACTAACAATGGCTGGACTTTTTCCAGACAGACCTCACATTGCTCTACCATATTTGGAACTGTTCAGATGAAATGAATAAAAACAAAATGTCCAAACAGATGAAGAATTCTATTTTTTAGACATTATAATGACTAAGTACAGCTTTACTAATTTATAGAAAATTTTAGATGCAGTTTTAAAAGCTAAGGTTCACAAATGTAAAGTAAAATAGTAACAAAAAAAATTCAGCAGATCTACTACATGATCAATTCCTTATTAAAACTTCAAATTATCCATACACTGAAAGGTAACAGAGATTACAAAGAAGGCAAAGTGTTTAGCTTTACAGTTTAGTTTTCAAGGCACCTTTATTTGAGACTCACAAATTTTTTTGAAGTCAACAGAGCAGGGAGTCCAAATCCCATTTAAAAAATAATGAGACAAAAACTTGCCCAAGGTCACAGATAATAAAAAATAAAGGCAAGCTGAGAACACTGGACTTCTAACTTCCTAAGCACTAAGTGGCAGGTTCTCATTGTGGGTATGACATTTACTATCTTTGTGACCTTAGAAAAGCATTTAACTGTTCTGAAAACTCAGTCAAGCTTTAGAATATTTTTTTTTAAATTCTATAAAAGAGCTAATGAAAACTCTCCTGAGGGCTGATTTCAGAAACTCTGATTCACAGACACATTTGTGATCCACTGAGAAGTTCAAAGCAGTGAAGTTCCAAAAAATAGAACTAATAATTGGATCATTAAGAGAAAAGCAGCAAGACACACAATAAACTTTTTCACCTGGAATGATGTACAACATTAAGATGCCTTGATTAAATCAATACTCTGGTTATTTTATAAAAGGTATGTTTATGTCATGAATATTTTTCAAAGAGTTATACTTAAAAATAAATACTACTGAAACTACAATAAACATTTGAATTTAATGGTTCAGAAGGTACTTCATACAAATTTGATGACCATCACTTTTTGCACCAAACAAAAACAAATTTAATATACACAGAGTCTGGTAATATTTATTACCAGCAAAAACACATGAAACATGAACCCTCATTCTCTTAGAGGAGAAAATTACAGACTGTTGAGGACTATTTGAAAGACAATTTCTCCAATGTCTACCAATATGTAAATCACTCATATACTTTGACCTAAAATATACAGGTAGGAATTTATCCCATAAATACTCTTGCCCATATAAGCAAAAAAAAATACATAGAAGTGTGCTGGGAAACCTGCCTGGTTTCAGGAATTCTAACCCTGCCGACAGGAAAAAGGGCCCCAAGGCTGGAAATAATCAAGGAAGCCTTGGGAAAACAGGACACTGAGGAGACAAAACCTGTCCCCCTGGCAGGGGCTGCGCCCCTGCCTCCCTCACATCACCCTGCTTGGCCCTGTGATGGTCAGTTGTTGCTGACAGGTAAGTTTTCCCAAGAGGAGAAGCAACCTAAGACAGACATCAGCTGGTATGGGCAGCAGTCAAGGACTTGGGGAACACGGAGAAAGAGCAAAAAGGCCCGTACCCCTCAGCTCAGCTTGGACATGGCCAGAGACCTCATTCTATCTGAATGAAGTCTCCTTGTCTCTTGGCGGCTCCCTCACCCCGCCTGGCTCAAGTTCAAAACAATACAGGAGACAGTCCTAAACCAGATCTGGTGGTTCCCAGGGAAATCAGGCCTAAAAGTAAAATCTTTAAAGTGTGCTTTGTTTCTCCCTCAAAAGTTATGATAGCCAGCTCATGCTGGGAAGGGAATTTACATTATTCACAGACCCTAACCCTATACACTTTGGCGCTCTTATGTTTACTATGTTTTGTTTAGTCCTCTCCTGTTTACTAGCCTTCTCTCCGACTCATGTAAATCAGTGTGTTCCTGCCATTTGTTTTCTTGAAAACATCATCTGTTCTCTGTGAACATTAATATATTGATGTAATGAGGTAACCTGTGCATTCTGGTTACCTAGCCCCACTGATAACCCTTTCAATAAAAGCCTATGGACAAAGGGGCTCGGGACCTCCCCCACTGGAAGGAAGAGCCATGTCCCCTCTCCTGGCAGACAGAGAAGTGTTTGCAACAACTCGTGTTCATTCCTCCATCCGTGACAACCCCAAGACGGGCTCTGAGGGATTCAGAGCCCCCACTCCCATCTCAGCTGGCCCCGGACAGTAACCCTCAGATCCTGGGGCACCGCACTCCCCGAGACATGCTCCATTCCCGTGGCAGACGTGTATTCATGGGAATATATATAATCCCAAAACACAGAAAACTTAATAAAAATCTGAAAAAGAAGTGCTATTATATCCACACAAAGAAATATTATGTAGCCACTAAAAAAATGAGATAAATGGGTGCTGATTTGGTGGGAGCACTAAGATATGTTAAGTAGAAATATAGGATACAAGTCAATTCACATATATTTATGGATAATCCCATTTGTAAAAACATAAAAGACATCAGCTACACACATATTCATACACACATACATAGGCTTGTATAAAGATATGACATTTGTGGTGAAAAAATTCTTCGTTCTTAAAAGTGGTGTTATAAAATGGGCTGTGAGTCAGCTTAGTGCTAAGAAGAGATAACTGCCATTTTATAATTATCAGTTCTATTTGACTTTTATCATACTTATTTATTATTTTTATAATAAAATCAAATTCTCAGTAAAAATTGTTACAAATATGCAAGCATAATATTAGAAAGTTCTCATAAAATTTCAACTAAAGCACATTGCTAAGAATATTTCAAAGACACTTGAGGGTTTCAATGATTCCTTTATATGTACATATAAACTTCTGCCTCAAAAAGTCTTTTAATAAAGAATAATGTCCCAAAATATTAATTGGCAATCCCCTGTTGATGGCAATTTTATGAGAACAAAGGGCAAATACTACATTGATGTCCTAAACATTCCAAACTATAAATGATTCAGGAGAAAAATGTAACTGAAATAAGCAAATGTAAGAGCAAATAAGGTCCAGAGAAAATAAAACTAATGGAAAAAAATTTTTAAAGCAACATGTCTTATACAAGAAATTCAACTAGAACAAGTTAAAACATTAAAATTAAAAAGTGTTTTTTAATTTTTACTGAATTTATTGGGGTGATATTGGTTAATAAAATTATATAGGTCTCAAGTGCACAATTCTATAACACATCGTCTGTATTTCGTCTTGTGTCAAGTCTCCATTTGTCACCATTCATCGCTCCTTTATTCTCTTCTACCTCACCCCACCTCCCTTTCCCTCTGGTAATCACCATACTGCTGTCCATGTCTATGAGGTTTTTCTGTTTTCAGTATGAGTCTGTTTCTTGTTTGTTTGTTCATTAGATCCCACATATAAGTAAAATCTTATGATATTTGGGAAATTTAATATTGCTCGTTCACCAGGAAAAGCCAGAAAGTATTCTTTCAGGACAGATCTTTATAGGACTTACAATAGTATCTAAAATTGTTCTTTACATAACTCAGTTTATTCCTCTAAAATTCTCTAAAAATGTCACCTACTCTCTTTCTTCCTTGTCTTTGCTCCTTGTTGATTGAAATTCCCGCAGTTTCTTTTCCATCTCTTGGTTCTGCAACTCCAACTGCACTTTCTCCATCCTCAGTTCTTGAGCATTTCTGATGAGAGTTAAAGGCAGAATGTTTATTTGGGCTAAACAAATAAACAAAATCAAGGTTAAATAAGTTTGTATCATCTTTTTCTCTTAAGTAAAATTATGAATAACAAAGAGTGATAAAGTAGTTACTCTCTTTGTTCTTTGAAATATGGTTTCTAAAGCATATGGCCTCTTAGCATTTGCTTTCTATTAATGTTCTCCTTAAACAAGGTATTTCTTAAAATCTTAGACTTTTGTTTTTCCCATTGCATTCCTAGAGGTTTAAATTCATAATTCACTTTACATAGGAGCTATGCCTTTATATGTAAACAAATATCTATGATACACAATAGAAAACAAAGGAAATTTTATTTTTTTAATTTTTATACTATCTCTAAGAATTGAAGAAGTTTGAAGCACACTATTTAAAAAATGATTTTTTTCTGTATAAGGAGAATGGATAGTTTCACTAAACCTTCAGTAAATTTCTACCTTTATGTCATGTATGTATCATCAAACATTTTTTAAGAGCAGAGTCTGCTTGGGGAAAGCACCCACTAAAGGTGTTGGTATAGGAGCCATCAAAAAGAATAAATGGGAATGTTTCCTCTGAAGAAAAGCAGTAAGAAAAGACCTTTCTTTGAGAACAGAGAAAAGCCCCCTTATAGATTCTTATACAAGAGGTTTTGATATTATCTGAATGAAGCTCATCAAACTTTTGACAGAAGCCATTTTCTCCATTTTACAATTCTGTTCTCTAACCAGCATTAGTCATTCAATCTTTCACAGGTGGAAGCCAACGTAGTTGTCTATCTTTTATGATCTATCATGAGTTTAAAACTGCATATTCATTATTATATATTAGTGGTTTACTCTAATCCTCTAGCATGGGCACCCATGCATGCTACAGCAAGGGACCAAATTAAGAATAACAGATATCAGGACTAATTTATATAGATGGTGAACATTCATCAAAGGGCAAGTAGGTTAAAGATATATCCCCAAATGGTCACAATCCAGAAAGATACATGAAAAGTGATAGGAAGCAATGGCTGTCTGGAAGAGTCAGAGAAGCTGCAAAGATATTGATGGAGAGGCATTATTTTCATTATATCTGCTCTACTAGCAGTAATTCAGCCCCTACTACATAAAATCACTGAAGCAGGTAATAGGATATGAGACCCAATGGAGCTTCCAGTATGGAGAGGGACACGGACAAGCATGAAGGTAATTGAGCTACAGCATGATGGTGAACTCACTGAAGATGCACAGGAAGGTATCAGAGCATACAGAAAAGGCACACATATCCAGTCTCTGAGACTGTAGGAACAATTCCTGGAGAAAGTGAAGACTGAGCTGAGCCCTAAGGGATAAAAGGACTTAGCCATTTGTCAAAGGGAGGTGGTAAGAGCAGTGTTCCAGGAATAAAGAAAAGTGTAGGCACAAGTAAAAAGAGCGAGATGTGGGCCAAGGAGCTAGAGGCTCTATGTGACCAGGAGTTAAGTGCAGAATGGAAAAAATGGGAGGAAATGGAACTCCTGAGGGTTACAGTGGCAAGATCATTAGGAGCCATATAGGTTATGAGCAATAAGAATCATTAAAAATTTTGAAAGAATTGATCAGACTTGCTTTTTGGAGAGATCACTCTGGCTGCATAATGGAAAATTTAACAATGGCACAGCCTGGAATCAAGGCAAACAGTTAGGAGACTATTTTAATCATCTTAATGTTAGAGACGATAGAGAAAAATGTGAACATTTCAGAATATAAGAAATTAGAATTAACTGCACTTGGTGACTACCAGAGGTAGATTACTGCCCAAGGGAAGCAACAAAGAAAAAATCTAAGACAATCCCAGGTTTCTTATTGAGTGATAAGGAGGATGTGATGCCATTTCCTGAACCAGATCCCTCTGGGTAGGATCCCAGATCACTTTGAGTTTCCCAGCCCAAAGTATCAAGGGCCTACCATACTTTCCATGTGGCTTCCAGAGGAAGAGTTCAAAAGCACGTATATGACTATGACACTCATTTGCTGAGAGAACTTTTAACATTTCTGAAGTCCTCACTGTGGTACAGGAAATGTTTGAGGCAGAAAAAATGTACTGGCCCACTGACCAAGTGGTCAAGTTTATGGTGGGATTCCCTGTGTCTAGAACAAGATAAAGACCTTCTTTTTGGAACAGCCTTGGACACAGAGCCAGCAGAGCGGGAAGGCCGCTGAAGAAAACTAAGGTTGATCCTACAGAGAGAGAACAAGTCAACATGACAAACCCAAAGGCCAAAAATAACTTACCGAAATGAGTTGGGGGCTGGGAAAGAGGTAGTAAGGAGTTGGAAGACACCATAATATCAGACAAATATCAAGACAATGCCAAATGAAAACAGGCTTGGAACAAGGAAAGGACAAGAAAGGGAGCTCCAGATTAATTACCATAGAGTGGGTGTTCCAGTCCTAGTTTTTATGGGCTATGGATCAAGGGTGGATCAGGGAAACATACAGACCAGAAAATAATGACTCCCCCTCATATCCAAAATAAATTCCAAACTCCTTAGCATGGTATACCAGTAGTTTGTTATCTATATGACCCTGCCTTCTCTTTAATTTTGTCCTATAAATCTTAGCCAACTGGATATGTCTGAAAGCCCCAAACAATGTACTCTCTTTGCCTTTGCCCAAGTTTCACCCAACTAACCGTGTCTTTCACACAAACCTTGGAGCACACCGAACCCTACCCCAGCACTTTGGCTCAGGTTCACATAGCCCCTGTGCTTTCACATCACATCACGGTTCACGCTATATTGTAAATGCGATTTTACTTATTCACATCCTCTATAAGCTATTGTACCTGGTGGCAAATATTGTGACTTTCTACCTTTGTATCTACCATTCCCAGGCACTCTTAATAAATGTCTTTTGGATGAATGTTTGTAAGTATATACACACAGACATGACACATACCACTAAAATCAACTAATGCATGTCCCCTTCTCTTTTTGCATAAAAATGGACAATTGGTAATACTAGCAATTTCATAGCTCCTCATCCACCAAAAAATGGTAATCCTTATCATGATAATGCCATAAATTTGTATTATAACATTTTCCAGCTTACACAATGCTTTTACAGTAAATGGAAAATTAGGAAAGCTCTAAAGACACTGAATAACCACAGGACTATTGATCTGGAACGGGGAAGTCTGAAACTAAAATTAAAATCTGACAGTCTGGCCCTGGTTGGCATGACTCAGTTTGTTGGAGTGTCATCCAAAAACCAAAACACCATGGTTTAGATTCCTGGTCAGGGTGCACGCCGACTGGTCCCCAGTCAGGGTGCATGTGAGAGGCAACCTATTAATGTTTCTCTCCCTCTTTCTCTCCCTCCTTTCATTTCTCTCTAAAAAAAATCACTAAGCACATCTTCAGGTGAAGATTAAAAGTAAATAAATGAATTTTAAATAAATAAATAATAGATAAATGAATGAATGAATAAAATCTGACAGTCTCCCCAACCCATGCTGGTTAACCCTAGTCATATTTGCTAGAAATGTCTTGGGAATTCTTAGTGACTCGCAATAATCTCAAGGGCAAACAACATATTGAACCTTCTGGTATCCCTGCCATGACATAAAATTCCCAAGATACCCAGAACTGCTTGGTTCTGGCTGAATGATCTAGAACAGAAGGTACGCTTTCCAAGAAAGGGGAATTCAACATAACATCTTTTAACTATACAAAGTGCTAGGTTAGTTAGTACTTCTTTTTTTCCTGTTAAAAGGTCACTCAGCCTATTAGTACCCTTAATTTTAAACGTCTTTCATTTTCTTAAGGTTAATTCTTTTTTTTTTAATTTTGAATAAGTGTTACAAAAATATTTATAACTTTGTTATAGTTTTAATACCCCACCATTCATTTACAACCTTTCCCTTTGATTCCTGTGGCATAAATATTTTTATTCCTTATTTTTAAAATTATATAGATGTATAATATTTCAAATGGACTCTTACAGATAAAAATAGCGCTGTGAAGAAAATAGAGACAAGAATCACAAAATTTTAGTTCCATTCTAAACAGTCTCACATGAAAAAAGCATTTTAAATTACAATATACAGAAACTTCAGTAACTATGTCTACTTAAGTAAATATGCATGTACTTACTTATACTTCAGCTTTACAGAATGTCCAGGTTTTCCCCATGGAAGAACTACAAAGTCTTTGGTGTTCATGATTACTATCTTAATACTGTTGAAAAATTATTGTGATTTGTAGAAACTCTTGAAAAAGTAACAAAGAAAAAAGAAGTATATCAGAGGTAAAAAAAGTTAACTTACAAATTTGAAACTACATATAACTCAGAGAAACTTTTAAAACAGAAATTGTTACAAGGGAAAAGGCTAACTCAAAGGTTAAACATCAAAGAATTATTATATATGGTTAATTATTATAAGTAATATAAATTTACTTAGTAATGAAGTTATAAATATAACATTTCTGGCAGAAATAAAATTTTACCAATAATTATGCAGCAAAAGACTGTGGAAATACTCATCTGAAAGTGAAGAATACATTCATAAAGACAAGTAGTGTACATATTCTGGATCATCTTATATTAAGATTATAAAAACAAATATCATGTGTTTGTCCCCATCCAAACATAATATCCAAGGATAAATGTACTGAAGATACAATCCAAATTTTAAAACCTCTTTTTTTACATATACGGTAATGTAAAATGAGAACTAAGGTATGTAATGATTACCCAAAGGCATTTCAATATTGTCATTTAACAAAAAAAATCTAAATGATGCTCTGCCTAAGAGAGAAAATTAGCATATTTAGAAAGAATTCTCAACAAGAAATGAAACAAAAAAGATTTTCTGCCTAATTCCAGGTTAACCAGAAAATTAAATTATTCAGAGCACCCTGTTTCCTGAGTATCCCAATTATTCATGGTTCTATAATAATTTACTCTTCAATGCTGACTGAATCACATAAAAAACTATTTTTATAGGAATAAAATTTTCCAAATTCCAAATACTCTTAAAGAAATGTAAAAGGCAATATCATAGAATCCTTACTCTTAAATGCCCAAACCATTTCATACTACCAGTTTCTGTATGTGTTCCTATGTGCCCATAATCCCTATAAATAGTGAGAAGTCTCTGCTACATGCAAGGTACTGTGCTGAGAGGTATGAAAAAGTCAAGGTCCAAGGATATTTGTTGTTTGGGCTCAAATGGAGTTAAATAGGGTATTTAATACCTATGTATAAAAGCCACAAAACAAACTAGAAATTATAAGGACCCTAAAACATATGTGTGTAATACAAGTGAGAGAATTCAAGCTGGCTAGCATTTTGATTACAGCTTTAAGGAGAAGCAGGGCTTATATGTTATGATATGGATTGCATGAACCTTGCACACTGTAAGAATGTATAGCTCTTGAATGGTGACAAATGACAGATGCCATGTGATTGATGTATAGGTTACACGAGGAGGGAAAAGTGGGCATAAGTTTGGAAATGCAGGCTGAGGACCAGTAATGGGGTGGCTTTAAAGCTTTTGGAATTTACTCTGTAGCTAATGAGAGTCGCTGAAAGTTTTAGAGGGAAAAACATAAAATAACTCTGGAGGTTTTGCGCAAAGACTTAAGGAGAAAAGGCATCAGAATAGGAATAACCAAATGGAAGGCTTCTGTGACTTCAAAGTCTACATAATCAAATGTCTAATTATTTTCATTTCTGTTCTTTAGGGAAAATCATAATTTCAATGATACAACCACTGATCAAAACATTTTTGGGATGTCTCTTTTGAAATGGTCTGCAGGCTCCATCATACCTTCAAAAAACCTATCTACTCTGTTGTGATTTATTTAAAACTGAAAATAATATTGTCCAGCAGAAGTGACTGCTTTGTTTAAATCACCGCAAAATATCAAATCTAGCACAAAAGAGAGCTTTGTACAACCTTGGAGGAAGTTCTGAAGGAATATGTTCTCTGAAGATAACTCCAAAATGGAATGTCACAAAATAATTTTATATTGTAAATTTCATCATGTACTGGTTAGACTAAGCATATTTGTGCCTCTTTGATCAACAAATATTTATGTAGCTGCTCCTCTGGGATCCCTATGACTTGGTACTGAAGTCACAATGGTAAATAACATATGGTATCTTCCCTCAAAGAACTCACAGTAAAAGGGAAGGCCACAAAGCAAGAGCAATACCATCGGATTTCCTGACAGAAGGACACAGGGGGGGCGTCCCCCTCTGAGTCATTTCTCAACCACCCACTTCTCTTTCAAAGCCAAAACCAGCGTCAAAAAGAACTTAAGTTACCATGGAAATGGAAAACGAGGATTCTGTTTGCTTTAGGGGAGGATGCACCTTTGTAGGTAAAATCTTTGTGTTGCTTTTGTCAAAACAGAGATGACAATAGCTATTTTTAAGAAAACCTCCAGGATAATCCTGCTCCTTTAGCATAACGTCTATATCCCTTTTTGATTATAATCAAGAAATTCAACTGTCATCATTACAATTATCATTTAAAAAGTAAAAGAATCTCCAAAGTTAATGTGTCTAAACCATTGTAATTATTTAAATTGCCCTAATTTTATGTATACATTGAGATATACAATACAATTTATATGTGATGTACATACGCGTAAAGTTTATCTGATACACAAAGACTGGAATGAATGAAAGAGAAGTCAGTGAATTTCATTACGACGAGATGATTCAGATTTATAGCTCTGCTGATAACGTGATTTAACCAATAAATGGTCTTGTTCGGGGGGCATTGCACTTCACTGAATGCAATTAGTGAGGTTTCTTCTCAATTAAATGTTTTATCGAGTTACACACATAAACCAATTTTCTTGTAGGAAGGAAAAAGGAAGATTATAATCCTAAATCATGCTGTTCTGCCTGTTTCCTTTAAAAAAAAACCAACAGAGAATTAGTCACCTTTTTGGGGACAGCAAGCATATAACAATGTCATCAGGAAGAAATGCAAAGCACAGAACTTCAGTTGCCTAACGGAACCAGGGAAATACAGATAAAATCCCTATTATGCAAACCTCATAGTTCCACCTGTCCTTAATAGTCACTCAGTTTTTTTTTTATCTTAGCTTAGCTTTTTATCAAAAGCTTAGTAGTTATTTAGAAAATTTTCTAGTTACCTAGTTTATTAGGCTGCATCATTTTTCTGACCCCAACCTTGTTCATCCCCACACAAATACAAACAATATGACCCAAATTACCCATGATGGTTTGATGATCCTTCTACACAGTTCTCAACTCTTAATCTGCCATAAAAAGGAAAATGTAAAGAACTCTTTCATATCAAATATTTTCCTAATTTTACAGCAATATATCTGAACACCATTAAAAACCTTTTGAGTGTCAAATTGCTCTCGTGAAATGTGGAGTCAATTTTTGTCTCTAAACAGTTCGCCATACTCATAGGAAAAACAAACAAACAAACCCAGTTGCTCTGCTTGGTACTCAACATCCTCCATTATGCACTCAAAATCTTCTAAGCTTTATGCTTAATTTTCTACTACTCTGCTCACCAAATTTTCACCCAGCTCCAAGGCCCACTCTACCATGGATATTTCTCCCATCAAAAGTGAGCCTCACCTACTGTGTAGGTATCATGTGAATTACACTCATCTGCTACTATCCTACCTTCTGCTTTTTTGTTTGTTTTTGCTGTTTGCTTTGTTTTCCCAAGTATCTCAAATCCTTAAAGACAATCCCACCATTGGTCTTCGAATCCCCAGCAAATAGTAGAAGGCCTACACTTAGTGTACTGCCAATAATAATGTGCTAAGTTTTAAGTATTTAATATTTTTCTACTTCTTTGAACTTACTGCACAATCCACCTTACAAAAAAATTTTTTTAATGAACACACCACCCGCTTTCCAACTTCAACACATATTTTTATTTTCTCCAGTATCCTACCAGACTTTGATGAGCTTTCCACAAATATACACCTCTTCTGTGACAGATATCCATCCAGTTAGGCACTGAGGAACAAGGTGGACCGGACAGATAACAAACCGAATCCTCACTAAACTTACACGCTAGTAAAGAAATCAGGAAGAAAACTTGAAAACAAATAAAGTGGTTCTGTTAAGTATTGTGTTTTGAAGCAAATCAAGGACAGAGATACTTCCAAATAATTTCAAATAGCTAATTTGTAATACAACTGGCAATATTATGGTAGGTCAGGGCTCACCTCCACATAAACCTCTTAAGATGTTAGAAGGAGCTGCAGGGTTTAGATTTGTTTTTTGTTGCTGTTGCTGTTGTTAGTTGGTTTGTTTTTTTATTAGCATATAGTTTGCGTAGTTTTATCTTGTTAAGTTTCAACTTGATATGACTTTCTTTTTTGAGATTGCTTGCTCTAGATTTAAAAACAAACAAACAAACAAAAAACACAGTATTAAAAAAATACATCTGAGCATCTCTAATGCTGATTTGGGAAAGAAGGAAAAAGTCCCACAGCTACAGATTAGTCAGGGATCTGGCGTCCCTCTCTCTGACCTTTACTTTGGAGGAGTGTACTTGTGGAATGGAAATGGAATGCATGTGGCCGCCCACGCAGAAAGGCGGCTAGGAAAGGTTATGTGATCGTCGTTTCTCACGCACCAAATTTTTTCTAAGGTGCAAATGACTTCAAAGAATAAAAGAGGCTAGCATTTGAAAAGGTCAGGTTGTAGAAGGGGTACCATTGCCGAAGGTCCGGTCTTGCTGCCTGGGGTTCACCCTCGGTTCAAGTCTCCACTAGCATCAGGAGCTGGGAAGTCTTTTGCTTATAGGAAAGGAAGACTTTTCAACTCCTGAGGTCAAGGCCGTGTCCTGCAGCCCGCCGGCCTGGCGCTGCTTCGGGCACCTCGAATGGGCTCAGCAGGAACCTTCCGGCCCGGCGCCCTCGGCTCCACCGGGAACCCAGTCTCTTCCCCCGCGGTGCCACCCGACTCCCTCACCGCCCAGACCCGGCGCGCTGCCCGGCTCCGCCGACCCCGAGGCCCTCCGCCCGCCACCTACCCCGCCGCCGCCGCCTGCCCACCTGGAGACCGCAGCCTGCGCGTCACCGCTGCCGGCCTAGCTGCCCTGAGCTTCCGCCTCCTTCTCCTTAGTTACCGCGTTGCCTCCGTACCCATAGCAACCGGAATGCTGTGTCCTGCGCCTGCCGGCCTGCAGGGGGAGCGAAGGAGCCATGCCGGGGTAGGGACAAAAGAAGATGGACAGAGGGAAACGAAGGAAAGGAAGGGCCTGTGAAGCAAAGCAAGCCCTGGAGGCTCTCTGCTGGAGAGGGTAACACTTGGCTGCCAGTTACCGAGCCCTCCTTTGTAATACTTAATTCATCCTCAAAACAGCCCCATTGCTATCTAAGAAATTTAAGGCACAGAAAGTTTGATTAACAACCCAAAAGTCTAAGGCTAGAAAAGGGCAGAACCAAGACGAATTAACACAGGCAAGTTCAGAACTCTCGTCGTTACGCTCTGTTCAAGCGCTCATCAAAGGTCACAACAGACAAAGTCAAGAAGAGAACTCCTGTCTCTTGGCAAACTCAGAACTCATTTTCTTTAAACCAATATACCGAACAGAGTTGCCTCTTGTGAGCTTATTTTTGGCTTTTTAAAGATGTTGTAGTTTTTTAAACGCTGTTTTTATATTCTGCAAATAGAATGTGTGGTTGTTCCTGCAGTCAGTTGGTCAAAAAAAACCAAAACTATACTTATCCACACTGACTTCTTTGCTACTGGACTGATAATCTGAACATCTGCGGTAAAAATACTAACCTCTGCACCATTGTTTTGCACGTTAATGTGCCTGCCAATACTCATGTAAAAACACCTTTGATGTTTTTCCTTGGCAGATTCAATTGTATAAGATTATAACCAGAATAAGTAAGAAAGAGCAATGATAGTCTGTGGTCGTGACTCTGGACTTTGAAATTAAGGCAGACCTGAGCTTTACTTCCAAGACCTGCCATGATTTACCTGCTGTGTGACCTCGAACAAGTTATCAAACCCAGTTCAACTGGTAACATTACCCTTAGTCCATACATGATGTAGTATGGAATAGTAAATAAAGCAACATGTATGAAGTCTTTAGCATTAAGCCAGGCCCAGAATAGGTACTTAATAAATGAATAAAAATGCTGGTGCTGGTGTGACTGTGGTAATTGTTATCTTCATGCTCATGGTATGAATTCACTAGGTCCTTCCTTTAAAACTAACACAGTGACAAGTTTTAAGTGGTTGTGTCTACTGCTAGAAGTTTCTTGTTCAGGATAGTGTTTTCCAGATGGATAGCTGTACCCTTCGAATTACCAGGAGAGGTTTTCATCATATATCCATTCATTCATTCATTTATTCAACAAATATTTACTGGGAGTCTACCATTTCAGTTTCTACAAATATGATAGTAAAGAAGACAGCCCCTCCTGCTGTTATACATACATTTTAATGAAGGCAGAAAGACAATAAATAAACATAAATATATGTCAGGTGTTTTCAAGGCAGAGCAGACTAAAGAAAAAATTATCAACATTCAAATTTAGGTAAGAAGGTCAGGGAAGTCTCTGAATGCAGGGAGAAACACATGGGTAATCAGGGCAAGGAATATTCCAAGCCAGGAACAGTAAACAAACTTCACTCCTGACAAAATGAAGACCAATGTTTTACATAAAACCTCTGATGACTTTTGTACAGCACTTTTTCACTTCAGAAAAGAATTCTTTAAGGCATATGCTGATATAATAGTAAAATTAGTCTCATAAAAATAATGTATAAAATATTCTGGCACTTTTCAAAAGCATTAATGGACATCATCTTGCTTGTATTTAGGAAAATATCTTAGTTCATGCACAGCTCTGCAAAACAAATCAAAGCCAAAAAAATAATAATAAGCCCATGCCAGATTGCGTAGTAAAATGAAAAACTATGGAGTGTTTGTCTTTCAGAAGCACGATTAGTGGCAAAAGAAGGGTTTGTCTTTCAGAACCACATAAAAACAATGACACCTCTAGAGAGCCTATATCCTAAAGCAGAGTGACTTTAACTAATATACCAGCGATGCTGCAAATAGTTTACCACGTTTATATCAGGAGCACAGGACTCCTGCCAGCTTTTGCAAATTCATGCTTCATTGTGCCAGTGTGAAAACAAGATCTGAACGCAAATTTTCTGAACTATGAATATTTGATTTAAAGAGATAAAAATTACCCACAAGGAAGAAACTGAGAGCATGGACTTACTTAATTTAAAGGGTAATTTCAAGGTTATGCTTAAAAAGATACATTATCTCTCTCTCTCTCTCTCCCCCCACCCCCTCACACACACACACACACACACACACACACACACACACACACTTCCATTAAGCAAGCCTGTCTCAATAAGTAATCTCATTTTGTACTTGGTAGGCCACTGCCTAGAGGAAAATTGGAGCAGGTCCCAGGACTTTTCTGGTCATTCACAATAATAAAAGTCCTTAGATGAGGAAGAAAAATGTCCAATCTCACATAATTGTCAAAGGTTTGCAAAGGATTTAGCATTAAGGTTTTTGTCCTTTTGTAGTTGTCAGGCATGCTGACTATAGACAAGCATGAAGTCAAGGACCTACTAAGAAAAGCTTATGGTTCTTGACTTTCTCTGCCTGACTTAATTCACTTAGCATGATATTCTCAAGATCCATTCATGTTGTCGCTAAAGGCAGTATTTCCTCTTTTCTTATGGCTGAGTAGTATTCCACTGCATATATGTACCACATCTTCCTTATCCTAAGGATACTTCGGTTGTTTCCATCTCTTGCCTACCAAGAATAAGGGTGCAATGAACATAGGGGGGTGCATGTGTCTTTGCAATTAAATGTTTTCAAATTTTTGGGGTAGATGCCCGAGAAGAGGAGTTGCTGTATCATACGGTAACTCTATTCTTAATTTTTTGAGGAAGTTCCGTGTATTATTTCACTTATATGTGGCCAATAAAACTGAAAGCAACAAATAAACAAGAAAAATAACAAGACTTATAGACACAGACAACAGTATGGTAATTACCAGTCGGGGGGAGAGTGGAGGGTAGTAAAGGATGAGGGGGGGTCAAATATATGGTGATGGAAGTTTTGACTTTGGGTGACATATCATAGAATTGTATACTTGAAACCTATACAATTTTATTGACCAATGTAACCCAAATAATTTAATTTAGAATGGCCTGTTTCTATTTCTCATCATCCATTCTTGTGTCAGCCTTATTTATTGATTATATTAGGGTCACAGAAAAGGATACAGATTAAAGCCGAAGAGTCCTAACTTGACTTGCATTGATCCTGCCAGGTGTTTAATGCTGTGGATGAAAATGGAGTCCTATGGAAAGGAACCTCACAGGGTGATCTGACCATAAATTCTGAACTGAGTAGGTCTTACTGTAGCTATTCATGCCCCAGGCATATAGCTTTTTAGTTAAGGGCTTATTTTTTGCCTTAAGCAAGCCCTGTTCATTGTTTCTGTGCATCTAGGTTAACACACCTTTGAAATACTCTCTTTCAGGCTCCTCGGGAGAGCGCAGAGTCTTAACTGTGCTGTAATCCCATCCCTGCCTAGATGCCTCCCACCTTCACGAAATCTTCCTTACAGTTCCTCCTTAATTCTCGTGCGTAAAAGAAGCTGCCTTAGTCTGTTGAAATGTGCTTCCAGGTTTATCTTCCGTTTGACTCAAATAAATTTTTATAAAAATTCTCAATAATGTCAGACATTATTATGTCACCACAGCTGTCTAATCCAAAGAGACCACCCGTCCCCATCCACGGGGGACCTCTCACCTAAATTTCTTTAGGTGCCGGTGACGCATTCTCCTCAGACCTTTGCTTACTGAGCTGCTTACTTGGTGCAAGGCATCAAGTGATTATTCTCGCTTCTCTCTGCAGGCTCTCAGTTGCCCTCCTGGACAGAATTTTAAGTAACCCACTTTCTCTTACATCGTTGCATGTTCCGTGTCTGACCTACAGAAAATGCTCTTGCATGCTTTGCCCTGCCCTGCTGTGGGACAGCAAGAAGCCAGCAGAGTTGCCTCTCTTTGGCTCACAGATCAGCAACCAGCCAGCCTAACAATTGCACTTCAGATTCCTTAGATGCACGTTAAAAATCAGCCCACTGTGTCCCCGGCTGCAGGGACCCACGGATGTATCTCTTACCAGGCTTCAAATGATAGTCAGGGACTGTTAACTGACATTGTTCAAAGCCTGAAAATAAGACAAGGAATAACTACATTTCTTTCAATGTCCAATCTAAGAGTCCACTCCGAGGTTTCCTTATTCTCTAGGAAAATGTACCTTTTCGTGATTATCGTTTACTATTCATAAGGCTCTGAAACTTTACATGTAACTGTCCTTTAGATAATTGCAGAATTTAGCTTTTCACAGCCCTGTAGTGCATTTACTAGTTTTATATCTAACATAGAAACCATACATCAATATTTTTTGTCAGTGATCCTGTATAGTCAGCCTATCGGATTTTTTTGAACCAGCTTTACCATTCTGGTGGTTCCTTCCTTAATGAATTGAATAACCTGTGGAACGGGTACATTCTATATTTATAAAACATCACGTTCTTAACTACTGAGATAATAGTAATAATTATTATTAATTATTTTGGCCAGCAAAAGTGCAATTCAAAAGTAAGGGCTAAATGAGGATATTTTTTAAAAAGAAAAAGTCTAAGTGAAGTTGCCAAAAATATATATATCCTTATAATATTGACTTTGGTTAGAAGAAGCACCTTATATAA